GCGCTCCAGGAGGTTCTTCGACATCTTCGTGGCTGAAGTTCCCTGGACGGTGTCGAGCAGTGAGTCTGCATCGCCCCCCTTGTTCCCCCCGGTTTTAAGGCTGAGGCAGTGGCGGCCGCATCGCTTGCGGCGGCACAGGCCGCGGGGCCCGGCCCCTGTAACCAGGTGTGTGTTGCCCCCACAGAGGAGCTGAAGGAGTACTTCTCTCAGTTCGGGACAGTACAGAGGTGCCAGCTGCCGTTTGTGAGTACCCGCTTATTCTCCAGGCCGCTGTTGGGGTCTTCTTGGTAAAACGGGGAAGAGCCGTCGGCTGGCGCTCCCCGGGCCCGACAGGGTTGGTCCTGCTGTTGGGGCCCTGCCCCGAAGCCGGCTCTCCCGCCCCTTTGGAGCTGCTTTCTGGGAGCTTCTTGTACTCTAGTCAGATTCTCTGTGCTCTCCACCCTTAGTTCCTTCTGCTAGTGGGTGCCGCCGCTCGTCTGAGAGCTGCAGGCCTCATTGAAGCGTAGTGGTTTCCACTGGTTTTGAAAGAGCTTTAGAAAGCACATCCCTCAGATCCTGTTGATGCTGCCATTTCTGAATAATTAACCTAAAAGTGTTTTGGGCTTTTCTATCATCGTATTACTTTTCACCTAACAAAGAATAAAGTGTTTATGTGACTGGTCTCACTGGCTAAAAAATCTGAAGATGTGGGTATGAACGTATAGTCTTTTCCTGCTGTGGGTTCATCCCCCATCCAGAGTGCAGGGCTAACAAAAAAAACCCATAACCTCTTCAAGATGGTTCCAAGCTCTCAGCTGTTCGTGCCTCTGCCATTCAGGTTATTTATCTTCTGTAGGTCAGGAATAATAGTATCTAGTGCAGTTTCTTAGAGATGAACAGTCAAAAGAAGTTGTTCCTTTCCCAGTCTGTTATGGATAAGTTGCACGTCATTGCTGAAAGAGTAGTGGTTCTCGTGCTTGCTTGTGTTTCTCCATGTGAAGTAATGGTCTGTTAAATTAAGCTCAACATGTAGCAAACTTCAGTTAGTGAGCTGATGGGCACGCTATCAGTTGAAGACTAGTTTCGAAATGGAGAAAGATAGCTTGAATCAGCCTGGTTATTTCTTGAGCATTTGAAGCTTAGGTGTCTGCCTGCTACCCTCTGTTCCTTGGGCCCAGGACAGAACGCATTGCTTCATTGCGAAGGCTGGCAGCTTACTGTAAACCTGCCTCCATCACTGATTAAAGCTGAACTGATGCACGTGTATATTTTGATTCAGTGATTACTTTAGGAGCATTTATTAATGCTTACAACTGCCAGAAGTACAGAAATCTGCCAGCAGCATAAGACAAGGTAATTAAGACATTACTGAAACCAGGCAGTGTGACTACAGTACCTTGTGGGTGAAAACTTTGACTGGTGTTTGGAAGTGCTGCCAGTCATGCCCGAGGATCAGAATGGCAGAGCTGTTGTGAACTCTGATGGGTATCAGAGTTAGGATAAAAGGCACTTTGGTAGACCTGGCTTTTCTGCATTATCTCCTCTTTATTGACAACTGTTTTTTCTGACTGGCAAATTATTCTTAAAAATAACTTTTTTTTTCTTTTCAATGCAGTTAGTGCTTGTCATCTCGAATTGCAGCCTGCTTGCTTAGTATCTTAAGCAGCTGCTTTATCTTGCTGAATGCTTTTCAAGTACAGTGGCAGGTTTATTGTCAAATCATGCAGCCATTTAAATGTCAGTTCTGTTGTGACGGGCCTAATAATAGATGACTACTGCAGTTTGAAACAACTAGCTGTGCATTATTCCAGTCTTCAACTATAACTTAAAAGTCTTAAATTTTTTTGATTGCTGGACTTAGACTGAGAGAAGGGGATGCTGAACAGCCTCTGCTAGGCCCCCGCATGCTGTCAATGAGAGTAAATGTCTTAAAGGGTGCAGATTTCTCTGGTAATTTCTGAATCCTTAAATTGAATATCCATAGGAAGTTTTTAACAGGCTATGTGAATATTTTTTACAGTAATTGGATTTTATTTTTTTAAACTGATAACTAGGACAAAAATACAGGCTTTCACAGACGTTACTGCTGGATTAAATTCTCAACTCCACAAGATGTTCAGAATGTGTTTCAGAAGGACTTCCACATACTTGAAGGTGCCAAGGTAATGTGCTAGTTCCTTTAATGAATGTAGCAAGGGGAGCCCTTTAATTCTACACATTAACATCAAAGTATTACCGTACTTGTTCCAAGTGTGATTAAGCCATGTGCCACTTAGTGTGCTTTTAATATTTTTTTTAAATCATTAATTCTTTTGTATATTACCTTCTCTTAACTCATTAGGGTCTGAGATCATATAGATACCACACAGATGACATACATACCCGGGATCAAACCCTGCTATGCTAAGCTAAAGGAGTACAAATGCAGTAAAACTGTTCAGGAACTGCCATGAAACTAATTATTTGTAGACTTACATGTGCTTCAGCTGACCTAGCTCCTCGGACTGAGTAGTACAGAGTGAAACCATGAGCAAGAAGCAGGCTGGTATAACAGACATGATCAATTCCTGTCTTTGAATAATTAATAAGAATTCCTCAATATTCTGACAACTAGTTTCTCATTTTGAGACTTTTAATGCTAGGAGATAAGAGTAAAATGAATTGGCAAGATGCTTGCAGGGATGCAGCATGTTGATTGTAATAAAAGTATTTTGCTTGATGTGGTTCATACTACTGCAGAAGTCTTCGCTGGTTGAGGTTACTTTAGTACCTATTCCTAAGAAGAGCTGACATGTGAGTTACAGCTGTGGTGCAGAAATGGAGGAGCCATTTGCCAACTTCAGTTCTAAACTGTGACAAGCTAGGCAATAGGCTGATCCCTCATAAATTGAGATGAAAATAATGAGGATGTTATTGGTATGCAATTATCAAAATAAGTACTAGGAATAAATATTTAGTGTCAGTTTCCTGGAAATTATTTTGCTGCTTTTTATGCTTGAAGCTGCAAGATGCCCACCTTCACTTAACTGCCTAGGCTTTGAGGACTATACTCCCACAAGATGTGCAAGAGCTAAGAGGCTTCTTTATAGTGAAATAAAAAGCAAAAAGCAGGCAGTAGTTAGCTTTCTTCATTTCTTCAAATATGCAGACTTCTCTAGAAGCAAAATACATCAGCACTTCTCCCACTTTGTTCTAGGCTAGGTTTAGACAGTTACCTTCTATTAGTTCCACTTGAAAGCATAAGCTTTTAAGATGCATTTTGCTGATACAACTAGCAATTGCTGTGCAAATTATATTCAGCTTTCCATCAGGAGCTTAGCATTGGTGGTTATGGCTCATGAAACTGAACCAGTTATGAACACATCTGCTTCCCATATGAATGTTTTAGAAGATCAGAAATGAAAAATATCAAACCTTCCTGCCTAACTAATTTGAATAATTTCCATTGTTTTCAGCTTGCTCTCAGACAGCAGCCCCGTAGAAGACGCAGTCAAAGAACGAACCAAAGTGGGTGAACAGTGGAAGGAGGCTTTATTTCACTGAATGTAAAGAAACTAAAATAAAGATTACTGATAAACTATGAATGAGTATTTGTTTTAAGACAGAATCCAGCTGTTTCCCCTCCTTGTTCAAATAAACTGTATAGCCATACTAAAACATAAACTCCCTAGCATCCATTACAGCATAACACAGTAATTATATACAGCAGGAAAGCTTTTAACAGATGAGGGAAAAGCTTTAGCTAAAGCTGTAGGAAGGGGCTATGTTCTTATCCTGAGATGCTGGGCAACAGGGAATCCGCAAAGTCAGAGCACTTGCTAGAGAGTAATTTCCTTGTGAAATGTTTCAAAGTGGTCTCCCTTCCTCCACTCTCCAGGGGCAGCTGACCTATCTAGAAGAATTAATGTGTGTGCATGTATGTCCACGCGACTGCTGCATTACAACGCCATCCCACTATACACCTCTGATGTTAAAAATGCCTCTTGCATGAAGTCCAAGCTTGTAGTCCATTTCTCTACCTCTGAAGGAGAAGAGGCGTTCAGTCCTTCCTCCTTTTTTTGCTCTCATGCTCATGTTCTTTAGGGCGGCTGCTGTCCGATGGCCGTTTAGAACCACCGTGTTGCTTAGCTTCTTCCAGAAACTTGTCCAAACCAAATGGATCCTCCTCAAATTGAACTGGTCCATCTCTGCCCCTCCCTCTGGTGTTACGATCTGAGTTAGAAAACTCTTTATCAGGAACAAACCTGCAAGGAGAAAGGCAATACTCAGTTGACTGTAACTTCAGAGTACTAATTAAGAGTATTTCTTAGCTTTCTTTTCTTACCGATTGGTCTTTATTCGAGCCTCTAGATCATCACCATACATGTCCTTATCCACATTTTTACTTGGCCTGTAGATGTTCTGGGCCATATCCTTGCCACTTCTCCAAGGCTGGTCATAAACATTATAAATTTCATCCTCTCCTCCAGCAAAGCCACTGTCCATACCCTTTGAAGGAGAAAGAAGAACAGCGGTGCAACACAAATGAGTCTGCAAAACTTTAGCTAACTTATTTTAATATCAAGATACATTGATGTGTGATTTACTATTGACTTCAAATGAGTTCAAGCACTCCATTAGGATATGAATGGTTTTTGGTCTGGGAATAAGTCCAGACAGTGTGACATAATCATTACAAGCCTCTGTCAGGGCCACTTCTACTCTTCCAGGAAGCAACAGGAAGGATTACAGGCCATTCGTATTTCAGAATAATGGATCACTCCTGTCTGCCCTGCAAGCACAGCTGTCTGTAATAGCCCAGTACAGCCATACGGATATGTGTATTATTCAGAACTTCTGGAAACCATGATTTAAGCTGACTGATCCAAATCACAGATAGGCTTATGTAAACTGGGAAAGCAGGAGTGCCTGCTTGTTTACATTTGATTCATCCACTCTCCCTCTGCCTGCAAATCTTTCATTGGAGACATGAAAAAGAATGATTGACAAACTGCAGGTCTATTCAGGGACTTTCTGAAGCCTAATCGACTTTTTTAATCTCTGAATAGTATAAAGTTCAGGGAAAATAAATGTTGCTGTTGTCTATTTATATCTTCAGGATTTTTAACATAAGCAGTAACGGGAATAGGAAGTATTTACTTGCTTCTCTTTCAGAGCAAGTTTCCCTTATTCAGTCAAGTATGTTGGTACAAAAGAAAACTAGGTCACTGCAGCTTGGAGGCACAATTGCTTCTTTCTCTCCACTCGCCAGTGAGAAAAACCATAACAAAAACACTTCAATCCAGTTATACGTTCAGAATATTCCATTTTTGTTAGATCAGCTATAGGTAAAGGAGATCGATAGTTTCCTAACCAGTTATGTAGAGACTTCTGTTAGGGTGCACCCATGCCAACCATGAGAACAGAGTCCCTTTAGTATTCCAGCCATACCCACTAAGAAAGGATGAGCACCTTTTCATAGAAAGCTACACAGCTGTGAAAAGGTATTTTTACCTTGCTCTGGTTGAACAGCCTCTGGTCGTATTGGATTTCATTGGATGGCCTGGGGTTGGGTACCCCTAGGGCAATAACTTCACTGATATCTCTGTTCTCATTTCTCTGCAGCTTTGACCTGAATTAAAAATTTTAAGTTTTATTAGGTCAGTAAACCATATTTGTTGACATGCTCAACTGCAACCCGATCCTTTATTAGTTGCTAACCCTTTGCCTCAGGAGCTAGGTTTTGACTGTTGCCCTTCCTTACTAGGTAACATTTAAAATTTGTCCCCTGGCAAAGGAAACATTTGTGAAAGTTATGTTCAGCTGGGCATGACATTTAAATTTTCTTTCCACTATCTGCAATTTACATCAAGCTGACTTGGTCTAAAATGTCATATTTATTTTTTGCAAGAACCAGTGTAATTATGTTCTGGGAAGGCCAAGCAATCTAATTTTAAGATATTGGAGATTTTAAGCCTCCAGAAACTGTTTGTGCTCAGAAATCTCACTGACTTGAGCAAACAAAATACTTCAGCCTACAGTCATAAATCTAAGCTTACTTCAAGTGAACAGCTTCAAGAAACAAAGCCACTAATGATTCTGTGGTCTCACAGAAGTTAGAGGATCCAGGTTTCAACCTTTGCTGTCAACTTATTAAATCTGAATATACTGAAGTTCTGCTAAAGAGAAACCCACCCAAAACCAACAACCCCCCCTCCATTCAAATGGAAAAGTTTAACTTCAGAAGAGAGTACTGCAGCACGCTAACACAGTAATACCATTTCATACAGTGAATGAACAGTGCTTCATACCAGCGAGTACCTCCACAAGCTAAAATTCAGGCACTCACATCGAGCAGAGGGAAGCCCAGTGTAACAGTTTCCCTAGTGGAGGGGCCAGTGCCAGTACAGGAATGAGGCCAGTGCCAGTACAGGAATGTGACTCACCTTTTGTCAGGGGCTGCCCTGGAAAGATTTCTGTCATGCTGTCTCTCTTTGCGCCGGTCATGCCTGATTTCATCTCTTTCTCTAGCTTCTCCATCCTCTGAACAAATGCGAGATTGGTCATTGTAGACAAATACTTGAGGTTTGAATTAATTATGCCACATTGTCACAGTGATTCAATTCAGTATTCTTTTACAGAAGAGAAGCAACCCTTAGCATTATTTAAACAAACTGAATACATGGAGAAACCTCAGCTTTCTTATGCCACAAGCAATTCACTGTCCCTGACAAGAGTTAAAGCAGACATATCCAACTGTATTTTCTCAACTTTCAAGAGCTTAAAATGCCTGTCCTTCTAGGAATTAACATCCTAAACCCCCTACAGATCTTCGCACCATGCTTTCATCTCTTAAGTGTAAAAATACCATTCAAAAACGCAGCCTTTAAGTGCTTTGAAGAACATTATGTGACTCTGTAACAAAGAATCACTCAGG